AGGGAATTTACACAATTTTTAAAGAGTTCAAGAGTAATGCGACAAATATTTTTAGATTGGAGGAATTTTCATGGAATTAGAATGAGCATCAAATTAGGAACAGTCCCGCTAGGGGTACACCACTTGGTGTACCCCAATTGCACACCATATACTCCCCCCCCCCCCTCTCCCTCACCCACCCCACTTCATTTTCTTCTCTTTCCATCGCACTAATTCCCCATCTTCTCCCTCATTCCTCTATTTTCCATGTCACGGTTCTCTTCTTTTTCTTGTCCTCCAGGCCACCACACCACGCCGTCGGGAATCCATGGCGCCCGGCTTTCCTTTCTTACCACGCTGCCGCCGCCACTGACTAGCGACGATCTTTCCACCCGTCTCCGCCACTGTCCATCAACCACTCGCTATTATTTAGGGTATGAAATCCACAAATTTTTAATTTCTTCACTTTATTATAATTATCATTTGAACTCTTTTTTTTAGGCTTTTTAAAATTATTTGTACTCCGTATTTGAATAGGATGTTTGTATATAATGTCTTGATTATTTGATATTAGATAGCTTGTATATTGCTATTTCACACGGACGATTATCGTCTGGGTCATTGAAACTTACAGAAAATTGTCGTCTGTGAATCATATATCACAAACATATGTCGTCTGTGTATATAGCTTGTATATTGCTATTTTTGTGCTTATTACGAAATGTCTGTGTAGTGCTTGTTTTTAGTGCAACATGTCTGTATTTTATTCAAGAGTCTGCTCAATTTCATAATTTGCTTTGAAATGTCTATGATTTGCTTCTTGTTGGCACAAAATGTCTGTATTCAAAGAAAGAACTTGTTCTGATTCATAGATTACTCTAAAATGTTTGTGATGTGCTTATTACTGGCGTAGAATGCCTGTTTTTCAGTTAATAGTCTACTCAGTTTCAAAACTTGTTATAAAAAGTCTACACTCTCATCACAGACATTTAATGTTTGTGAAGAAACTCTTACAGACACGTAATGTCTATAACACATTTAACAGACACTATCATCTCTGCAAAAGTTTACCAATATCTCTCAAATCTGCTCATCTAATTCCAATAGCTTCTAAAATGTGTTCCAAATGAAGTGATATTTCTTAATTGTTTGTTAAGTTTCAGAGTTGGACTCGTGTTCCCTTGTGGTTGCTTTTGGTGTGGAAGATTGAACGTTGGAAGATTGGAGATGGTTGCTTTCGGATTTCTACTATAAAATTAAGAACATACTGTAATGGTGGAAGATTTTGTATGCTATATTTGCAAAGCCGATTGTACAATTGTTTTCCTTTTATTAGAATTTGTTTTCACTGGTAGCTTGTAGGGTGTTTGTTTTTTTAGGGGCTTTGGATTAGTTCACTCATCTGATCTCCTCTTGTATCTTTTGATAAAAAATGTCTTTGTTGCATTAATCTCTTTGAATACATCACTCACACACAATTAGTGTTTATGGTTGAACATTCACAAATAGTAAATGTATATGAATTATATATCTAAATCAATGATTGTTTGTGATAAGAGATCTTAATACTTTATTTTGACTTTCAGATACACGCAATTTTCACTCAGAGTACACAGACAGTAAATGTATGTGTTCAAACAATTACAGAACTTTAGTGTCTGTGTAACTTAAACAACGTTGATTGTTGTTTTTTCTTTTGTTTTAAACATAATTAAATTTGTGAAATGCTCTTGATACTCTATTATTTGGCATATTTAACAGGTGAAATTTTCATCCATCTTACATAAATAATAAATGTCTATGTATCAAGAATTATATATATTTAGTGTCTATATAACGAGTATGCTTTTTTGTGTTCAAAAAATTATGAAGTGTTCTTGTAACTGAATGATTTGTCATATTTGACGTATTGAGTGTGTTTGGTCACGAGTATGCTTTTTTGTGTATAATTATCTATTACATAGACATCTACCGTTTGTGTCATTGAAATTACAGACAACTAGTGCCTGTGATAGTCTTGATGAAATGTTTTTAATCAAGAATTACATATATATATACATATATATATATATATATATATATATATATTGTCTATGTCTATGTAACTAAAATGTGTTAATTGTAACTCTTTTTTACAATATAGAAAAATTGTGAAATGTTCTTTATGTTCCATTACATGGTATATTTGATGGATTTCATTTTTATACATGTTACATAGACAATAAACATCTATTTCTGATTAATTAAAGACAGTTTTTGTCTATGTGACCATAAAACACAACAAATAATACTACAAAGAGCCAAAAATTAGATGTACTTAAAAAGGGGGGATGTAGTTACAATAAAGTGTAAGTTATAATATAGCACAATGAGATATTGTTTTCAAGAATGAAAAACAAACAAAGCAGAATTAAATTTCCCTTTTCAATTCCACCATTAAAGCAAGCAAAAGAACTGAGAACATCCAAAATTGTATTACACCCAAACTTTATATACCAAACATTACATCCTTCAAAATTTTAGAATAAAAAATTCTAGTGACATGTGACGATTACATCTTTGCCATCACCAATATTGACTTCGGCCATCGTCTGCAAGAAGCAACCTTTCAGCACACAAGTTCAACACATCTTGTTTCCGGACAAGCGGCTGACCTTCGTCTTGACTGCATTCTGCTCCCCCATCTGATTTTTTCTTCACCCTCTTGTTAGCATTTTCTGCTGCTAACTCCTTCTTTGGGAGCAGTGCAGAAGCCTCTTGCTCAACCACATTATTCGTCACTTGTTCCTGTAATACATAAACAATAAGGTATAAAATTAAAAATACGTACAATAAAATAAAGTGTTTGTAAGCCCATAAAATATACACACCTGCTCATACACAAGCTCAACAGGTCCAGGAGTCAAACAAGCTATAGCATACTCTTGGGTGTTGATGATATTATCTTGATACAACTACTTACATGTACAGTGCAAAATAAAATACATGTCAATCATGTCTGGTCATATCTTGGAAAACAGACACTTCTCACCTAGTCCAAGATAAAAACAGACACTTCTCACATAGTCGAAGAAAAAACAGACACTTCTCACCTAGTCCAAGAAAAAAACAGGCACTTATCACCTATGACATGAATAACACAGACACTTCTCCCCTATGACATGAATTACACAGACACTTCTCCCCACCCAACTATAGTGTTACAGAGCAGTGTACATCCCAGAATAATTCAAAAGTAAAAAACTTACATCATACACAGCTTTCTGGACAAGCTGGTGACCTTCGTCTTGACTGCATTCTGCTCCCCCATCTGCTTGCTTATCCAAAACCATAAGTGCCATTTTATTCTACCTACAAAATAAACATCCGTCATTGCCATAGTGACTGGATATAAGAGAGCAAAGAAAACTAATAACCTTAGCGTAGTACTTTTATTAGAGATATGATAGTAATAAATGGGCAAAAACATGATACGAAGCACGTAAGGAAGTAACACTGAACACATACATTCTGCGTCTGTGAGTAGCATTTCACATACATTTGCCATTTTTAAAAAAACTAAACATGGAATAAAGATTATTCAGAACTTAGGGTTCATAATAGATGATCAAAAAGTAAATAATTGAGACAGATAAAACATGATACAAAGCAGGGAAGAACTGTAAACAGAAATAGATATTCCGCGTCTGTGAATAGCAGTTCACATACATTTACCATTTTTCGGACATAAACCTAAATAACGGTAATTAGGAGTTTAGGGTTAATAATCCAAGATGAAAACGTAAAAATTCTGCATATGAATACCTATTTCTTCTACTTCGGACCACGCATTTCATTGGTGTATTTAATCGCTGCAATTTAACATTTTGGCTAGAAATTTGATGTAATTAAGCCCTTAAAAGATGAAAATTCAGCATAATAATACCTAGAAGGTGATGATGTTGCGAGAGACAATCACCGGCCCTGCGAGAGACAATCACCGGCGAGGGACGACGATGAAGACAATCCGAGGGGATGAAGATAATCCGCAGGGTTGGCGCGATGAAGACAATCCGCAGGGACGGCGAAGCAGCGAAGCAAGAAAGGTCGGGGAAATGGGGGAAACCTAGAGAAAGAGAGAATTTTTTTTTTTTGGGTGGAGGGGAATTTTTTTGGGAGGGG